TATTAATAACTGATGACATGTTGGAAATTATTGTTGAACATACCAACACAAGAATTGACTTAGTATCCTCAAATTACGCTACATTCAAACGACGTAAAAACTCTCTCTCAAAATTTGCCTCAACTTTCATTGAAAGAACAGATAAAATTAAGATAGAAGCTTTTATTGGACTTATATTTATGCAAGGTATATTTAAGTCTAACCATGAAGATTTAAAATCATTATGGGCAACAGATGGTACAGGGAGAGATTTGTTTAGATGTTCGATGTCACTTGCACGATTCTTATTTTTGCTAAGCTGTTTAAGATTCGACAATCATCTTACAAGGTCTGAAAGAGTGAAAACTAATAAATTGGCAGCTATATCCAACCTATTTGAAACTTTTGTAAAAAACTCCCAACAGAACTATGTTCCAGGTCCTCACGTAACAGTAGATGAAATGCTGGTACCATTCAGGGGAAGGTGTGCATTTAGAATGTACATACCTAATAAACCTGCGAAACATGGTATAAAAAGTGCAGATCTTAGCCGATTACCAAACACACTACATGTATAACGTGGAGGTCTATACAGGAAAAATTCTCCAACAGAAACAAAAATCGCTATTGAAAATTCCAACCGTAATGTCACTGGAGATAACTGGTACACATCAATGGAATTAACCAACGAGTTAAGAAAACGAGGAATTACATATGTAGGTACAGTGAAGAAAAATAAAAGAATGATTCCTTCAGAATTTATGGCCGACAGAAAGAGACCTGCTAGTTCTTCAGAGTTCGGATTTACATCAGACAATACTCTGGTATCATATGTCCCAAAAAAAGGGAAAATCTGTTGTTTTAATATCATCAATGCATCACGACAGTACTGTTGATCAGAGCACTGGGAAACCCGAAATAATTATGTTTTATAACCAAACCAAAGCAGGTGTAGATGCTTTGGACGAAAAATGTGCAACACTTCTCGAAGGACCCGTCGATGGCAATTTTTCACTGTATTTCAAATGTGTCTGGTGTAAACAGCCGAATAATATATCAGTTTTCCCGAGGAAAAGAAATATCCCGTTACAATTTTTTAAAAGAACTAGGCATTGCACTGTACACGCCACATATGAAGAAAAGACTTTACAACGTAAATATACCCCGGAAACTTCGATGTCTCGCAGCGAATATCCTTGGAGTAGATATAGATGACACACCTGCACCATTGCCAATACAGAATATATCTAAATGGAAGAGATGCGCAATTTGTCCCGGAAAAAAGACCGGAAAACAAATACATACTGTTTTGTGTGCAAATGACCTATATGTTTACAATGTGCTCTAAAAATATGCCCAAATTGTAAATCGGAATTTATTTTACATTAAATTAGTTTACCGTTATATAAAAAAGTATTTATGACTTAAAATAAATGTATTAGCTAATGTTTTTTCTTTATTTCAGAATTTTAAAACTGGGTCACAGTGACCCGTCAACAGCAGCTGCGAGATAACTTTTTGTCGGTAGCAGTTACGGGTTAAATGGGTATAATACCCATTTAATTTCATTGTCATATACTACTGAGCACGATTTATTATTTAGTAGAAACACCTAAATCATTATCGGGTTCAGAGGTTGCATGTTGTAATAGTTTTTCTAGCTTTTTGCGTAGTCGTGTGATTCGGTTTTTTAATTTTGAGTCAGTAAAATAAGCATGAGTGTCTACAGGTATTTTAATGCGTGATGTTAAATCTGGTGTATAATCCTTAACAATAATATAAACGTCTTTAGCTCCGTATGTCTCATTTAGTAAATCCCGAAATTGATCGTAGTTTAAGATATACAGGGTGGTGAATCGTCACACGGGCCATAGGAAACTCAATGGGAAGTTCTGAATTATTGAATTCCTGCTTCCCTAATTATTTTACACCAAAAGTCGTGGGAAACTATTTTTAGAGGACTATGTATCGAAAACTAATGTTAAAATTGTTCTACGATTTAAACGTATTCTAAAATTTTGCCAAAAAAATATAATACATTTTTCAGGTCACCCCTAAAAATCAGGCCAGACGCCGTAAAAAATGTGTATTACGTGTTGCCCTTTTTATATCGATGTTTCTGATATTTGACAATATTTAAATTAACTAAATTATATTTATCTATGATTTAAATGGCCAAAATTTTTATTTTGTGATCTACTAAAAAATTAAGTGGATTAAAAAATGTAGTCAGTTAAGAAGAAAAGAGCAATAATAAAAATGTTTTATTCATGTTTTATTATAACATTTGTCATAGTTTTATGTTTAGAAATTATCATAAATTATTTTTAGGAATAAGGATCACAGTAACACTATATTGGAATTCATTGAATTGTTGTGTGACTTGGAATTAAATTTGAGTGTATTAGAATATCTAACGTTAAATAAAGATCTGGTAGTGCTCGCCCTTAGACAATGAAAAGGTTCGCACTATTGCCTGAATACAACAATATGCGATTTTTCTTCAACTGAGTACATTTCATTATATCTATTGATTTGTAAACAATATAATTTATTGTCCACAAAGTAATATTTGTAGTAGTATTAGTATGTAGTAAAATTCATTGTTTATAATTTAATCATAAAATAAAAAAAAATTGACAATTCAAATATTGTCGAACATCTGACATCAATATGATAAATCACACACGTCATAATATACATTCTTGCCCTACGTGTGGCCTAACTTTTAGGGGTGACCTGAAAAATGTATTATATTTTTGCAAAATTGTTAAGTACCTTTAATTCGTAGAACCGTTTTAACATTTGTTTTTAATTCAGATTTTAGCCCTATACAAATAGTTTTTTTATGACTTTTGATCTTAAATAATTATGGAAGCAGCAATTCAACAATTTAAAATTTCCCATTGAGTTTCCTATGGCCCGTTTGACGATTCACCCGTTATGATTCTGAATCTTCTTCTTTAAGTGCCATCTACGCGACGAAGGTTGGCAATCATCATGGCTATTCTGACCTTCGAGGCAGCAGCTCTGAACAATTGCCTTGAGCTGCAACCAAACCACTTTCTCAGGTTCTTCAACCAGGAAGCTCGTCTTCTTCCTACACTTCTCCTACCCTCTATTTTTCCCTGAATTATGAGTCTTAAGATGCTAAATCTTTCACTTCTCATTACATGTCCGAGATATTGCAATTTCTTTCTTTTATTGTATTTTCCATTTCCCTCTCTATGCCCTTTCTCCTTAACACTTCTGCATTCGTGACTCTATCTATCCATGGAATCCTTAACAATCTTCTAAATGTCCACATTTCAAACATGATTCTGAATGCTGGTTGATAAATCTTTTAGCAGCTTCTTCGGTTTCTGTTGTTACTTTAGTTGTGTTAATTTGATTTTGTATCTGTATTTTGTATTTCTGGACTACTTGTATCTCTTGTTTTTGGGTTGAGTCTTGAATTGATAGTATTATATTGTTATTAGGTTCAAAATTGGTGGTCCTTATTTTTTGGATGTAGAACTACTTTTACTACCTCCCTTGTGAAATAGATTGAATGCTAGTTTTTCTGTTGGAGATCTGGTTTGGGGTATATATCTTTTGGTTAATGTTGTTGATATTCCCGTTGTTGGAAGGGTCACATTTGACACCTCTATCAAATTTATTGGAATAGATAAAGTTAGTAAATTATTTTCGTGGTTGTCTGTTGTAGGAACCTGCGAAGTGATATTTTGATGTGGATTAGAATTTGGAGTAGTATTTAATTTATTAAAATTGATTAGAGGAGTGGTTTCTAATGAATATTTTAAGGCAAGATGGCCATTTTGTTTGCATTTGAAACAAAGCGCTAGGCGACGGGCCGCTGGATAAAAATATTTTGTAGCTAACACTATTGTGATTGACCACGATAAAATTAGGTATGGTTATATTATTTAGGGGTTCTATGTATACTTGACGCCTAAAACTAAGTATGTGGCTATATTCAGAATATGTAGCTCAAATTTTCAAATATGTTATCGGTGACATCAATTTCAGGCCTAGGTTCTGGAAAAGATTGCTCAATATTTCATGTGGTATTGTTGGACTAACATTAGATAAGAGAAGACGTTCTAGTGGGGTGATTAGTCTACTTGCTAGAAGTACTTCATTGTTTATTTTAATAGATCCTGTTTTATTGAGAAAATCATTAACTACAGCTTTATTGGAAAATGCACACTTGGCTATTAGAGATTCTTGACAAATGAATTATATTTTTTGGTTGAGCGAGTGGTCTTGGTTGTAATAGATAATCTTGCAATTTTGCGCCATTAATTGAACTGAAGATGATGGCTGCCTTGTTCGTTTAGTGAAAATTTTGGGCTAGTTTGTTGAGATGCAACAGTATAATGCATGGGATTGCTTTGAGAAGTGGTAGGAATATCCAGTGTTAATAAATTATTATTCGTCATTTAATTTTACTTGAACATTTTGTTGAAATTATAATCATATTCAAGTATGGCTCTGATTTTAATTGTTGTTGATAAAAAACCAGTCCGGTGTTGTGTTGATATGATGATTTTATTTAGATCGATTTCCAAAGTAAATATTTCAATCTAATTATTATTCTTCTACTCACGGTTTTAGGTCTTCTTAAAACACTAACTTTAACAGGTATATAACTTTTAATAATTTACTATGGTAAAAATACTTGCATAAAATTGTGAATACATCGGAGCTGAAATTAGCACACTTTGTGGTTCGGAATCAGGTCCGGTGTCTCAAACAGAAACCCTTAATAAATGTAAAATAAATTTAAATACAAATAATTTTCACATTATTCTTGGTGACTGGGAACAACAAAACTTTAAATGGTATTACTAATTATATGAAAACTATTAATTTCACTAATATACGTACAATTTTTGAAAGTTATTTCTTAGGCGACTGTATTTGACGTTTATTTAATGTCAAAGCTATTGTATGATTTATAATTTTAAATTTTAAATTTAATAGCTTTAAGAAAAATTTAGCTAAATAAATAAAATTACCTGTGGTGCATTTCAAAATCATAATTCCACATAGACTTCGTGTACTGATTTGCTATAACACCAATGTCGACAAACACATCTCCGTTGGGTAAAATCTCAGGTCCTTTTACTACTTTCCATAGCATATCTCTACCAAACCCATGTCGTCTTCCAAAGCTCCATAAAGAATAGTGTGGCCATACCAAGCGAACTCCTCCTCGGATGTTTTTAAACTTCGAGAATGGACATCTTCGACTTATGAACAATTGTTCTTCGTTGTTAATCCTCCAGGAAACAACTGTAGCTCCTTGGAGGTTTAAGGTACACGTAGTGTAGTCTCCCCTGTCTAATATTATTATTTTGCCTTCTGTTGATTCTCTGGCATCCATAATAATTTATCCATTAAAATAATAAATGTAAACAAATAGTTCTCATTAGTAAAATAATATTAAGTCATTCTAATGTGTCAGATTTTGTTATAACCTTCAATTAAAACAATTATTATTAATCATCGAGTTAGAATCTAACTCGATGTTATTAATTCACCCAACAGTGTCTTGTTGTCATATTATCTCAATCTTGTTTTTAAGGTATTTTTTGTGTGATCCTAATGCAATTGAAAAGTTTATTTGAAAAACAAGACCTTCTAACTTAACAATATAATATTAATTTAATATAATAATATAATCATATAAGAATTCGACTACCAGAAAAATACGTAAGTATTTGTGCCAAAGCTCTTAGTAGTATTTTCGCTGTTACTGAAGTGGAAACAGCTTAGCACTGAATGGAAGTTCTCCAAAAGATACCCGGGCAAGCACACAAGTAGTCCTAAGAAGCAACATACTGCTGATATAGAAAATATAATAGCTCACATTTCTTTATTCAAAGGTCACCATACAAATATGTAAAGAGCCTTTAAAGAACTTTCTCAATAGTCCAAGACTACTTACTTTTTTATTATGACATATTTCAAACTCAATTTACCATATCTTTTTCTTACCCCAAATTTGACACTTGTACATTATATGATGAAACTAAAACCCAACTCAAACTACCGAATATCGATGAATAAAAAAAAAGAAACTGCTTCAAATAAGAAACTCCATATGTATACTTATCACGAAGGAATAGCTAAATGTGATCAAAATAAAGTAACTTTCATGATATTTCATTATCATATAAAGATCATATAATCGGTTAAATGAATGAAATATTGTTTTTCTCTACTGGTTTCCCGGATCAGAACAAAAACTACATATTCATTCACCTTTCATATATCCTGGTTAATGTTCTTAAATTAGCATCATAGATAACAAAGACTGTTGCATAACGAAAGACTTGTGAAACTGGTATAGGAGGAGATTCCCACAGGCAAAAGACTACTCGGACGTCCCAGACTGCGATGGAGCGATAACATCCAAGCAGATCTCCGGAAAATGAACATTCCATTTGACCCTAGGCTGATGGAAGACCGAACAAAGTGGAAAAAAGTTGTACAGTCAGCCAAGACCCACCCAGGGTTGTAGCGCTACGTAATGATGATGATGATAACACAGGTATACCCAATATAAGGACATTCATACCTACCTTGCGATAGTGATTTTAGTTTCATTTCTCGTGCAAAAAAAGTAGTTGTTGATGTTCCAGAAGAATGTTGTGATAGTTCTTTGGAATTGTTAAATTATTATACATTTTTTACAGTTACCGTCATTTATAAATAAAAACTTTTGTAAATCTACCAGACCATTTTATTTAAAAAGAGTGATTGATGTTTACGCATTAATCTGGAAAAAGGTTACGGTGTTGTTGCTTTTCATTATTGTGTGAAAACCCTTCTGAGAAAATATTATGGTAATTAGTATCTTTACAAAATACATAAAACGCATAAGTCAGAAGAATAGGATTATTTTACTTTTACAAACTAATACTTTGTTATATCATTTCACTATTTTAGTTTGGACTAAACCACAAGTTAAGCTTATTCCCAAGTAGAATAGCAAATTGATAAGTAGGTATAACAAATTAAATCATTATTAAGTATTCAGTTAATAAAAACAATAATATTAAAAAAAAACAGAGATTAGTCATTAATTTCTCTTTATTGGAATAATTACAAACTTTTTTAATTATACAATGATCGTTACACACATTTCTACTGCATATTTCACAAATTGCACCTGTGACGCATTTTCCTTGTTAAAACTGGGGGTTTTCTAGCTTTTGCTTCTTTTTATTGTGTGGTTCAACTTCCTGTAAGCATTTTTCAATACCCTGTTTTGTTTCCTATTGTAATCTCCGCATTTTTTTCTCAAAATTTGAGGCAACACTAGTTGTCCTGCTGTCGTTGTAAGAAGCAATCTTCGTTATTCATTTTTGTTTTCGTTCCATTTTGAATGTATATTCAAATCCCAGCTACGTCTCAATTATTTATAAAAATGCAAAAGGCCAACGGTTAGTTCGTATTTTGCACATATATTTTATAAACCATTTGGTTTAGCGGTTTTGGACACCATTTGTATTTTGCACTATTATAATAGAGCGTCTTATCTGGTTTTTTGTTAACATCATCTGCACAGTAAGCATTGTGGTGCATGATAGACAGGAGTAGGAGACTTTTTTTTCAGAACGTAAGAAACAAGAGATGCTTTTGGAGTGAATCCGAAAATTGAATCTAAACGGTTCTTGTTTGGTAGAAATTCCCGAGGAACAAATCTCTTATTTCTTTTTTCACTTTACCCACAAAAGTAAGTGAATTTGCCAGCGTTTCACGTGCAAGAGCAAGATCAGTGAAATAGTCGCAAGTCACTTTTCTCTTGAAATTATATTAAGGCTCAACGAATTGCTATACAAATTGAGATGCATGACTTTTGGCTACTGTTTTCCGTTTTTTCCTGTATATGGTATTCCACCTAAAGGGTAATATGTTTCTGAATAACAAAATCACCACATTTGTATGCCATACTTATCTGGCTCTAAAGGGATATACTGCTTAAAATGACACCTACCTTGATACGGAACAAGTTGCTTATCTACCGTTATGTTTTTTACTGGGAAGTAGTATTTCTGAAAGTTTAGGTTGACTTCATTCCACAAATCGCGTTTTGTTGCAAATTTTTTGTTCCTTCTTCGTTCAGACCTCGTGTCTTTCTCGTCAAATCGAACAAATCTTTTTGAATCGTTTTAAACCCGTGGTAGCTTTAAATATAGTAGGTCCATAAAACTTACTCCAAAGTATATCTACAATATGGATGTTGGCACTCAGGTTCTGTGCAGTTAGTAGTAGTCCAAAAAGACATATAGCTCTATAGAGTCGCAATATTTCCAGTTATTTATTCCCAGAACTTTTTTGGCTTTTTATCTGTACACTTCGTTTCTGCTATTTCGTTTACAATTTTTTCGACTACAAACAAACAAAAGGAATTAACAGGATCATTTACACTTTAACCAGATTTTAACATAACTTTGTACACTTTGCTTTTTATTATGTTGCATGATCACATACGTTCCGTCGGTTGTGGTTGACTCTTCAGGTTAATTCCCCCTTAGTTTCAAAAATTTAACACTCTTACATCTAGAAACTTGAAGCTACACATTCTTCTTCATTATCGCTTATAACTACTTGCCGATCATCCTCTTAACTTTTTTTTCGAAAAATGATCTTCAATTTCAGAGTCACTTTCAATACTTTCAATGCCACCTACTTCAGAACATTCTTCATCATCTGAATTCCATAAATTGTTAGCAACATCTTGCAGTTCTGCAGCTGATAATGGCTTTCGGGACATTTTATTTGTACTATATATTTTTACTGTACTTCACTATAAGTTTAGGAGCTTAGTTGTCAACAATAACATCGATATCAATCGACTGATAGCAGAGCATTATTTATTTCAAAATATGTATATACTTCATCTAATTTACTTACTGTTGCACGTTATCGACGTTATATTTCGTGAGGTCACATGATACCAACACGGAATATTTAGGCGGTAGGCGTGTTCTTTTTCAGAATCACTTTGCTGAGTACACTGGCATTACAGCCACTAGACATATTTTATTATATACGCGTAAAAATAATATTTAAAGATTTCTATTAATGTTAACTTAAAGAAATACACAATAATATCTTTCATTTAATTTGTATAAATGCATTATAAAGCGTTTTTATGAAGAACATTTGTTCGGAACACACTGTAAATACAATCAAACGAAGGTGATATTTTGGCATAAATTGGTAACACTTATTTGACAGTTGTGGTGTTGACACTTTTTGTACGTTATTATTTTGAGTTTTAAAGTGACTACCTCTTGTTTTATATTTTTACCTATTTAATAAAATCTGTTCTTTTTACTGAACAAAATTAGTGTGTTTTATTTCAAAAATGTCACGTAAGCATTTAAATAGTCGTTGTAAAGAGATGGTAATACTTTTGCAATAATTATGGGACCTATTTGATTTAAGATGGAGTCAGGATTTTTTTATACTTTGGCAACTATGTCAACTTTGATCTCTCTCAATGATAATGACGTGCAACGGTAAGTAAATTAGATGAAGTATAGGTACCTACCTAACAATATTATTCCAACAATGATTATCAGTTCTTAAAATTCATTTAGAATAGATATGACACCTATTGTAAGCATCTCTTTGATGTTCTAATCAGACAGATGTTTACATTGTTTGTTACACGATTAGACTTTATTATTGGATTTTGGAATCATAAAAGTCGTCTCTATAATTAACAAAAACATTACCTGACTGTCAAATTAACTTCTATAACAAAAATTTACATTTAGAATTAGAATAATTTGGACAAAAATACAAATAGGGTCCGACGGGCCCGCGTTGCCCCTTTACGTGACAAAATTCTTTCGAGGCAATAATTTCAAAAATTATATTGAAAAGCTTATGACTATGTTAAAGGAAACATACTTCTAAACAACTTCAGTGATGCATAAAATTAAATAAATTTTTTTTATCAGTTTATGATAGAAGTATTGGCGTTTTGGAACCGTTGTACCCACCTTGCCTGGATAAGGGTTAATCACATTTGTGGTTGTGGCAGAGTAAATGAATGACTGGGACATTAGTAGTAATGCAAAACACATATTATGTGTTTTGCTATTAATATTGTTACTCCAATTACTTATCATTCAATTCGAATGTAATTGTCATAGAAAAACAATATGAAATACTTTGTTAAAATTTTTTTATTGAGCCGTACAAGATCTAGCTACAATTAAACCTATTACCTTCTATTTCTTTGTGAAATAATTGTTGTTATCCTTTCTAGGTAAATTATATAAGCAAACCAGAATTCCCTTCTTAGTTATGTTTTTTTATTTTATGAGGCAGTTGATCTCATCCCAATATAATGTATTTCTTTGGTCATCCACCCTATATTATAAAATCTGCAAGAGTCGAACCGATCGGACCCAAATAAATAATCCCGTCGTTAGTATTCAAAAGGA